GAAAAGAGAAACAATGACACGGTTTAATTAGTCTGAGATAATTAACAGCACGCGATTGGAAAGTACTAAAAGGAAGCTTGGTTATGTAAAGGGCTGATTAGAAGCAACAGTAGCGAAATTAAACCTCTTTCCATGGGTTTGTCCGCCAAAACCATGCAGGTGGTTTAAAATTTTATAATTATAAAGTAAATCAAGGGTTTTGATATATAAAAATTCGCATTCATTCAAACTTACCATTCGTACCCTTAAAAATAGATTTTGACCGAGTTTTTGAACCTATATTTGAAATTCAATTAATAATGAGCCAAGTTTTAACTAAATTAAGGTTAAATCGATTAAAACCTAACTCATTTAAGAGTTTTCAATGAGCCGAACTCGGGAAAATATAGAAGATTTTTCTTTGAATCGAGTTTGAACTTATTGAAGTCCTCATTCACAATATCCAATTAATAAGATTATACATTTATATAAATTTCATTTAGAATATAAGCTTAGTAAGGGTAATCTAGTCCAAGGGCAATGTAGTCCTTCTATTATGATGTTTGTATGGCAAATTAGTCAAAAATTTAAATCAATTAATAGGGGTAAGTCAAAATTTTTAAAATAATGAATAGGGGCAAATTAGTAAAAAAATCAATAGAATTAGTAGGGGCTAATTAATCTATTTATTATGATATTATTATGTGAGAGTGTGGTTATATAATAGCTAATTTGAATTTGAATCATTTATAAGGATAAATTAGTCCAAATATTGTTATATTGATAGTAGGGGCAAAATAGTCAAAAAAACTTTAAAATTAAATAGTATTTGCAAATTAGTCCATTCATATTATATTATCATGTGAGAATTGTATTATATAATTATAAGAGTATAAATTTGTATTTTTTGTAAGGATAATTTAGTCTAAAACTTTATCATCATATCTGTTAGTCATCCCATGATGACCAATCCCATCTCTCCCGTGGAATTATTTTATTCCATGAATAGGGGATTAATACGTTTAGGTATAATGTGTCATGCCATGTATAAAATGCAACCAAACATCATGTGTCATCCCATGAACCAAACGGACCCTAAGTGTTAAATCTAATATATTTGGGTATATATCACATTCAGTGATAAGTGAATAACTTATCACTTAATTTTGAAGGCAAGTTTTGTCTAGAAAATTCAGTGACATTTCATTAATTCAGATGTTCTATTTTTTGTTATCAAACACATCTGAACATATTAAGATCTAAATATATTAAATTTAAGTGCTGATTAGGGCTATTAAATGGGACCTTTATTTGGATAGTATGATTTGGGAAAAGTGTTTGCAAAAAGATATTTTGCAAAATATTAGGGTTATCAAAATTTGCTTACAATGCAAACACATCTTCAAAATATTTTCATTTCACATACATTAAATTATAAGAATTATCACAATGTTGTTCCAAATCATATTTCTAAATAATCTCCTATATGAACACTCTTTTAATCTGGATAAACCTTTTGGATTAAGTATTGGATTATTGAAACTTCTATGAATAATGAAAACTACTGAACTTAGTAAACGTGGTACTTCATTCTATTAATTTGTTAGGAAAGTATGGATTAAAATTTATTTTCCATCAATTTTCACTAAATTTTATAATTTGTAGAAATCATCCTAAATTGTTTTACATGTTTTATGGAAGAAGTTTCTTTTTTCGAGTGGAATGAGAATGTTGATGGTAATATAACATGTTAGACACTTATGTTGCATTTAATAAAACTGAAATTTGAAATCTGAATCCATTAATTTGTTGAATTGTTAAGTATTAAATCAAATACATTTAAGTATATATTATATTTATTGATAAATGAATAGTTTATCACTTATTTTTTAGAGCAGGTTTTATCTAAGAAATTTAGTGTCACTTAATTAATTCAAATGTTCAATTTCTAGTTGTCAAATGCGTCGAATATATTAAAATCTGAACCCATTAAATTTAAGTGTTGAATTGGATTATCAAACAAACCTTAAAATGTTTCTTGATTTCACTATTTCCTATTAAAAAAATTTGTGTGTGTCTAGATATTCCCACAATACACATCCTCCTACACCAGTTATCTTTCCCCTTCATGTACAATTTCACGCTAAAAGCAATTCTATACTAATTCGCACTAAAATGCTTGCACCATTTGGGACTCCTTGGCCACAAAAAGCAACTATTGTAATGGTAGATAGAGGCAGGCTTTTTGGTAAGTAAAGCAATTCAATGCTAATTTTCATCTCACTTACTAGATTTTTACTAGAAGAATGCAGATAGATGCAGGCGTTTTTTGTTTCTTTTTATTAGCTATTTTTGAAAAATTATACTGTAGAAGAGTTTTTATAGTATATTTTGAAATATTTTTAAAAAATTTAGATTACATTTTAGAATACATTTTAAATATTTTTAAAAAATTTTAATAATAATTAAAAAATTAATTTTTGAAAAACTAAGCAATCCAAACAGAGAGCAGTATGGATAATTAAGAAGATAAAAAAATATATTAAAATTTATAATGATGATGTAAGTAAATATATTTGGACAAATAACTTACTATCCAAACACAAATACAAATTGACCACAATTTCGATCATCAATAGTTAGTTATCATCATTTCAGTCAAAGCTTTCACACGCTATTCAGTCTATAGTTTTTAATATTTCACCTTTCTTCCCCCCACCCTTGCTGCCCAAGTAAAATCAAACCTACTTTGTTGTTTCCTTTTTCTTTTTGGCGGAAAAAAGAATGCTTTATCTTTTTCCTCCTACGTGTCATGCAGGCAAATGTGGGTCCCACACCCCAACAATGCAAAAGGCTGTCACCACGGGGATACAATACAACCAATGCGGACTCGGGTAGGGACGGGTGCACCTTCTTTTGTTCATCAAATTTTCTCTTCATCAACAGCGCGTAACTTCTTTTGTTCACCGTATAACTTTTTTTTCACAGGTTGTATTTTCATAACAGATAGTGATGGACCCCACACTTGACACGGAAATCGAATTACCACTTGTTATCTGAGCCGCACATTTTTCTGAGGTCCAATCTGGACCATGAACCGTGCCCTGCCCCAAATCCAACCAATGCCCTCCGATCTCATCATTTACTCTCATCATGACGTCATTCTCCAGCAACTCGTGTCAGAAACGTCAATCGGACGGTCCAAACAGCTCTAGTAACGGCACAACTGCAACATATTTGAAGCCGAGTGGTTGCCTCAGTTGACTAATGTGTCGTGGCTTCGTTGCAGCCTAAGATGATTTATTATGTACACTTAAATCTGTTAGTACTTAACTAGGCGCGCGATGCCCCACTCATCATTAACATCAAGGCAACGGGTTAACTATCCCATGGCCCTTTTGGAAGCCAAAATTCTGATTTAACCCCGTAGTAACGAAATTTTAGGCGAATATGCTGCAATTTGGCCAATGCTCCCAACTTTTGTGTGATGTTTCTGTTTCACGGCTAGATCAATATCTATGCTTCACATAATCATCATAGTGTAAACGAGTATAAAAAATCCAAACATCCTAATATTCAAATTTGTTTGATTACTTTCAATAAATTTAAATTTTTATTCAAACTTGATTTGTTTACTCCTCGAGTCAAAATGAAAAGAATTTTTATTGAGCTCAATTTAAGTCGAACTCAAGCGGCTTGATTTTTGCATGTAAAATTTGCTTATTATGCTAATTGAACCGTGTTCATGCAAAACTTGAAAGTTTATCAACCATAAATTGCTGCTCAAAATTAATTTGATTAACTACAGAACCAAATTTGAACGGGTTCCTATTGAACCAAACTACTTGGTTCTATCTCTTAGCTCTAATCATATGGGGGGTCATTGGTGAAGTGAAATTTGTATATCAATATCATTTATCTCATATTGTAAATCCTAGTTAAGATTGCATGATTAGAAAAGAATCAAACAAAAAATCTTTAAGTCGAAAATTACCCTAAAATGATTGAATCAATTTCCCAAAAATTAACCCCCAAAAGGATCTAGCAACTCCAAGCTACGTGTTGCTTTGTGATTCATGGCTACATAATTAAATAACTAAAATGATCGAATAACTTTGTGCTTATGTAGCTACTCAAGCTTAGTTTTTCAAAATTAAACAAGTCTTTTAGACATTTTCGTTCTAAATATACTTCTACACATTTTAACATTATTAAAATGAAATTACTATGAAGATAAGGTTCAAGTTGTATGACCCCATATTCGATTATTTTAGCCTTTCATATTCATTTATTAAATAGAATGCAAGTTTTGTAATATCTTAATAATGGTAAGAAAATGAACTAAAGAAAAGTCAAAATGACTTTGTTTACCATATTATACTAAGTTAAGGTGATAACCAAACACTTGCCTCCTGAGTCAATTCAAATTCAAATTAAAATTAATTTAATAATCCAATTTAGCACTTAAATTTAATAGATTCAAATATTAATATGTTCAAACACGTTTGATAACCAGAAATTGAATATTTGAATTAATGAAATGATACTAAATTTTTTAGGCAAAACATGCTCTGAAAAATAAGTGATAAGGTATTTACTTTATCACTAAATATGATATATACTTAAATATATTTGATTTAATATTTAACAATTCAATAATTTAATGATTTAGATTTCAAATTTCAATTTTATAAAACGCACTCTAAGACAGGCCAGTACCCAAGTTTCAATGATTACAACAGTCTTTATATTATCCGCCTTCAAAAACACTATTGATTCAAACTCACATTGGTGAATATTGAAAAAAGTAGGAAGGTTTTGTAGGTAATGTGAAAATAGTAAACGGATGCAAAATTGAGAGGTCGGATTTAGAAGGCCAGAGTGAAATAGCTATACTTTTGAGAGGCCAATTGAAATCTCTGGTTACTTTGAAAGGGCCAAGATGAAATTACTCTCAAGTCTCCAGGAAAAGTGTATCATCTATCCACTACCACTATTAGTGTCTCCCTGCATTACTTTATATAAACTCTGGAGTCTGTTCCTTGCATAGAGTCCGGGATGCAAACGGAATTTGTAGTCTTTCTTCCGATTATTTATTGTAACGATCAGTTAAAATAATTTGAGATGAGCAGGTTTTAATCGATTGTCAATTCAAGACTCAGAAGCAATAAAAAGCCCCAATCTTATTATTTTTCTCTGTTTTTTTTGTCTTCTTTATTCACTTTTTCCCTCTCGCCGTATAATGGAATCTCCACCACCGCCGTTGCCGCCCCCCTGTTATATCTCCCAGGGTTCCAAGTAAGTACTATTTTTCTCCCTTCTTGCTTTTACTTTTTTATTTTCTAATTCCTTTTAAGTTTGTACATTTACCGAAGTTTTGATTCTGTTAATTATTTGCTGTGGGCAGGAAAAGGGTTTTTCCGGGGGGTAGTTCGACGTGTATGGAGGCAGATGTGGTGGAAATCCCACCTCCAGGAAATAGCAGCTCGAAACTGAAGTCCCTTAAGCTCAAGGAAAAAGAGGTGGGATTCATTTGTCTGTTCACTTTAGACTTTGGATTGATCGCAAATTCTAGCATGATTGGTATTCCGCCTTTTTCTTTTCTGTGTAAGAGTTTTAATTAATTTGTCGAATGTGATTTGCATGTTTTTGGTTTTCAATTGGTGAAAATGAAAGCGGAAAGAGTAAAGATGCGCATTTTTGTTTCGAATTTAAGCTGCATTTCTGCTGCTTGGTACTCGGGAATAATTGTTTTAGGAATTTAGGAAGATGGAAACTTTTGCAGAACTTTGAATAATCATAATCCCATTTCAATTTTTGAAGCCTCGTATGGTGCCTCAAAGGTATGATCACAGACTCATGGCAATGTTGGAGGGTATAGTGATTGTGAGTTTTGAACTCTAATTTATTCGTGACTCTACTTTTGTCATTATTTTGATTTCCATTAGGAGTTCATGAAAGGTTTGGTTGGTGCAAGATCATCTTCTGCATTCTTTAGGTTATTTTGCTTTTTGGTAGTATCGAATTTATGGGGTGCAACAGCTGAAGTTTAACAATTGATAAACTTCAGGTTTTCCTTTTTCTTTTGCAGTTCAAGAGTTAATCAGTTATTAGACACTGAAGTTCTTAGTTCCACACTAAGGGTTTTTTTTATGTTTGCTACAAAGAAATTATTTTATCTCAACTCATGTTGCAGCGGAAATGGAATTATTTGCTTAGACATTTTTCATTGATCAAACATTTTCTGCATCAAAGTGGTTTGGTAGCTCCTTTTAAGCCTCTTTTCTGATCAGGAAAGAAAATTTATGAAGGGAAGGGTGGTACTCCATCTTTTCATTGCATATTAACTGGATTTCTGTTCGGTGACAGTTGCTCTTCATTTCATCTGGTCTTTGGTAGTAATTTGTAGCACCTTTTCTTGCTTTTTTGGCTTTCTAATGCAAATTTTAATTTTTACGACCATGGTTTCCATTCATTTTATTTAAATGTTGTTGTAAATGTCTTAATGGTGGTGAATGGATTCTTTGTAGGTAATTTTTCCTGAAGTAATAGATGTTGACATGGATGACGACTATGAGGATATTATGCTTTTGGATAGAGAAGTGGACACAAAGAGGAAGGGCAAGGTAACTATAAACTTTTGTTCGAAATTGCAATCTTAATTGGATCTGTGAGTCAGCTGACTCCAATATGGTACTTCTTGTTTGTAGACATGACTCTAATATGGTAATTTTGAGAGTTTGATGGCGGTTTTTCCATGTGGACTTACTTTTTAAATTTGAATTCATTATATGGTTTGTATTCTTGTTAGAACTTGGTTGTATTTTATATATCTGCAGATGTCATAGCGAGGGGGGGTTGTTTTGGCCAATAATGGGCCAAGATTAGTTCATGGTAAATTGGTGAAGGTATTACTAATGTTGTTGTACTTATCAGCCCATACTTTTTCTTCCTTGTAGGATGTTTTCAGCAAGCTTCCCTCAGGATCTAGTTCTGGAATTAATGATGGGTCTGGGAATGGTGTGCAATCTCCAGAGAAAAATTATGTTTCAGGATCACATTATTTAATTAACGGAGAAGATTTTGATGCTGACTTTTTTTATGGAGAAAATGAGTATGTGGATATGTCTCAGGATGATCCCCTATATGATGATCAGTATGCTATCATACAAGCTCATTTGGATAGTTGGGATATACCTCCTGGGGTTGAGGTTAGTGTACCTTGGTTTACAGGCCATGAAGAAAATAAATTAAAGCCGGCTGTTGCAAGTACTTCAAATCATTCTAGCTCGCCAATTGACGTGGATGGTGTGGTTTTCCCCCCAAATTCCAATTCATCCTCCTCAATATGGCCCATGGAATTTGAACAATCAAGTGACAAATCAATTATAGGAGAGAATTTAATTTCAGGAGACAAAGTGAAAGGAAGTGGTCAACCTAAGAAATGGGAGCCATCTTCATCATGGTTGCTTAAAGATCCTGCTCATGTCTCGAAGAGGTCAACTGCAGCCAGGAGTTCATTTAGTTTGCCATCAAAATTCCCAAAGGATTATTTGACCTCCTCATCAAGCATGGATATGCATGATTCTCGTCATCATTTGGCTGAATCTTGGCGTCATCATTTGGCTGAATCTTGGCGTAGTAAAACTAAGAGGAATCGTCAACTAGGTTACAATATGCTGGAGGGTGGTTCACACAACCAGTTCAGTCATCATATTTCTAGCTTTACAAAGCATCCGGTTAGTGGTCCCTTGACTGGTCTAGCTTCACGTAGTCGAACAAAACGAAATGATGTTCAACCTGGAGCAGTGAGCCATAAGCATCTGGGCAGTGGTGCCTCAACTAATCCAGCTTCTCATATTCAAAAATTGCTAAATGATGTTCAACCTGAGGCAGGAAGCCATAAATATGCGTGGAAGAGCATGCCGAACAATACTGTAGGACATTCTTTCGTGAATGCTTCATATCCATCAGGATTTGTTGATCAGTCTGGGCCGCAACCTGTCTTCCCTGATGACATGGCCTTTGGCCCCTGGGACATGGATCCTATTGTTGGCCAAAAGAGTGCAACTGCTTCTGGAAACTCATCTGGGTTGTTATCTGGCAAGGCAAAATATGGGGATCCTGGTGAATTTTTGAAGAACTTTGATCTTTTTAAGAAATTTGATACTGTTCAAGATTTTACAGATCACTATTATTCTAAAAATGGTTTTTCAGTGAGGCAGGTAAGCTTCAGTTTTAGACATACTCGTAACTGCTTTTTTTTTTGCCCCTCTGAATATGGTTCCCTTACTGGACATTTTCTGCCACAGCCGTCAAAGAATTGGGCAAAGAAGATACAGGAGGAATGGAGGATTCTTGAAAATGATCTACCTGGTAATAGGATTGGCTTGTCTTTTTATTGAATCTGTTATCTTTGATTATTTCTTTACTCCTTTGAAAGCTGTACATATGGAGTGGCATAAAAAATATGTTACTCTGGATCTTACTTTGTGTATAAACTGTCTGCATTTTCATGCATTATTCATATATTTTTGTCTCCTTTTATGCATGCTAGACTTTGTAGTGATGCACTTAGTTGTTATGTAATCATCCCACAGATACAATATTTGTCAGAGTCTATGAATCGAGGATGGACATTTTGAGGGCCGTAATAATTGGAGCTGAAGGGACTCCATACCATGATGGCCTATTTTTCTTTGATGTGTTCTTCCCAAGCAATTATCCTAATGTGCCACCAGTATGTAGCCAAAATTCATGTCTGCATATTAAGCTTCTGTTTAAATTTAGATCTTTTACATACAAACCAGGTCTAGTTTCCATTAAAATAAGCAAATTACTTTTTCCAGCATGTTCACTACCATTCTGGCGGCCTTCGTATTAATCCGAATTTGTACAATTGTGGGAAAGTATGCCTCAGCCTTCTTAACACTTGGAGTGGTAGTCATAAGGAAAAGTGGATTCCTGGTGTATCAACCATACTTCAAGTTTTGGTCTCTATTCAAGGGCTGATTCTGAATGCCAAGCCATATTTCAATGAACCTGGATATGCAAGCATGAGCGGTACACCTGGGGGTGAAAGTAACTCACTGCAATACAATGAGAGCACTTTCATCTTGTCTCTGAAAACAATGGCATACAACATCAGGAGGCCACCAAAGGTAAAGTGATTGTGGCACTTTTCGCTTTATCTCATGGCTGGTTTGACTGCTTATTTTGCCTATCTACTTATGGTATTCTTGTTGAGATTAAATTGAATGAGCAAATTTTTTTTGTTCAAGCAAGAGATCTTCTAATTGATCTCGTGCTGGTGCTACTTTTCCTTGTTTGGGTGTTGTTGTCTATTGCTTTTGTGATGCCATCTAACCGGTGCAGTAAGAGGACCCTCTCTAGCAGGTTTGTTGTCTTGCCCTGGTGGTGCTTTTGGGGTATCTTTTCGTTTTGTTTTGTGCTTTGTTATCGTATAATTTTTGGGTTCTTGGAAGAAGTATTTATTCATTTATTTTTTGTTTGTTGGGGTTCAGAGGAGGAAGGGGGGTGGTCTTGGTTGCAAGTATATATGATACTTGCGTTAAAATCGACTGCAATTTGTTTTTGGCTGCCTTCTGATTTGGACTGATTAACGACTATTTTCGGCTTGGCTGCAGTATTTTGAAGATCTTATTGCAGGGCATTTTTACAAGCACGCACGTGATATTCTTGTGGCTTGTAAGGCATATATGGATGGAGCTCAGGTGGGATGTCTTGTCAAGGGGGGTGTTCAAGATGTTGATGAAGGTGACAAGAGCTGCTCCCAGCATTTTAAGAACTCTTTGGCAGGATATATCAAAACGCTTGTGGATGCGTTCGCAGAAATTGGTGTCAAAGATTGTGACGAATTTCTTGCTTTAGCACAAAAGACAAACAGGATGGTGCCTTCTCAGCCAGTGGCTCAAAATTTTTACTACTACTGACTTGATGAGCAGGCAATTTTGAAGTTTAACCATTTGCTCGCCCATAAGATGTGCGGTTTAGGAATTCTATCTTAACAGGCTAGATCGCACTGAAATTATGCAGTATGCTAGAATTATGGCATTTGGGACATAAAAAGTACAATATTATTGACAATAAATGTATATATAGCAGTTAGCTGTCCATATAATATTTTCCCCCCTTTTTTTCTGGAATGAGTAGTAGTGGATTTAAGTTTGACAATGTAGTCTGTTGCTTTGTCGATCCTGGAATTATCTCTTGAGTGTGGCATTTAGGGCTTACCTCAAAGAAGTGATCAGTCATCTAAATTAAAACTTATCACAGGTTGGCAGAAAGTGAAGTGCGCCATGGAGTCGCAAAAGTCGCACTCATTAAGTTGCGGTTTTCATGGCAAGTCCTTTTAGTGGCGCTGGGGGGCGAGTAAATTTTTTGTCTTAGGGGCATTATTCTTAAGATAGCAGATCTGAGCGTTGGTTCCCTATCTGTAATGTCAACTGTGAACGGTAAATACGCCAAGGGCTATTTTTATTCGTTTCTTTAAAGTTTAAGCCTGGGGATGACGACCGCCGATAAAGCATCACTTAATGCCAACGCACTGATTTTGTAAAAAATGGAAAATTTGCAGTACCTCTTCATTGCAACAGATATTTCCAATGGCGTTTCTTCCGGTTTGGAAGGAGACTTGTAAGGTCTTTGTTAAAGTCAACATTTTTGCTTTAATTAGTCAAGAAATTATTAAACCATTTTGGTATCAACCGTGCCACCGAGGAAGGGATGAAAGCTACCGGAAGTTGCTTAGATTCCTATTTTCCACAAAACCACCTCACTAGGAAGCAGTCAACTGGAATATAGTAGAGTACTTGGATGATAATAGTCTAGTTTAAGCCAAGACAAAATGGGCTGCTGTCCCTTGTGGGTTCCATGATTCATTTCCCTTGACAGGAGGGGCAGACGACCTCCTCAATAATCGACAAAGACTTTGACAATTTTGCATATGATAGACCAGACTTTATTAGTCACAAAAATGCAGAAAAAGGAGAGTACAAATAGAAGAGATTGACTGATAAATCCACTGACCACAATTCTGGGACTGCAGTTGTTAACAAACTCGACGTGCAGGAGCCAGTTTTCCCAGCGTAGGAATATGAAACCTTCTCATTCCCCTAGTTTCTGTCAACTAACATGGTTCTGTGCTTTGTTGCTGTTCTTCCTCTTCAGCTTCTTCCGTACAACCATGGCTTCTGCTTCAGAAATTTCTTACAGAGATCATTGTGCTTCCATTGTCCCTGAATCCACTCCAACTGGTCGTTTTAGTGCCCAGTCTCCAATTCTCCATTTAGCCACAAGTTACTTCAAGGGTGGGGAGCAAATTCTTGGAAAGAAGTCAACGGATCAGTTGTTTAATAGTTCAGATGTTTCTCTTTCACTTTATATCACTGAAAATATCTATGTAACCAAGACCAGCGGAGTCTACAAGGTTCAGGCTCGCTTGAGGTTCCGATTGCCCTATCAGTACCGTAATTATTCAGGTTATGGTCAGTGGTACCACCCCAGGGATGTCTACCGCAGAAGATCATTGAGATTCCTGTTAAATGGATTCTTTTCAGAGCAATCTAGGAAGCTTTGCATGGTAGGAAAGGCCTCTTGGCAATCTGCAGAAGGTAAGCCTCGCAATCTTGAAGCTGTTTTTCAATTTAATCATGCAAAGAACAACTCAACCCTCTTAACTAGTTTAGCTAGGGGGACCTTGAAGAGCTTGAGTTCATCCAATAGCCCCAATTATTTCGAGCCCATTGAAATAGTTTCGCTCCCTGTGCTTTCTGATTACAATTATACACTGGCCTCAAAGGGGCTTGGCCGAGGGTGCCAGGGAGGAAATGATATTCCACCCGACCGGTCCCTTAGCTTGCTGCCAAGAAGCATTTGCTCGAGGTTCCTTTGGAGAACTTATGATTTTGAAGTGGAGTATGCAGCAGGGTGTAAAAGCACGAGTGATTGTGGTCCTTTTAAGAAGAATCATGCACACTTGTCCTTGTTCGCGTTTCAGTGTTCAGAGGATGAAGAAAAGCTACGATATATATTGGCTTTTGACAACGAATACCATTGGCATTACCAATCTTTTGACCCCATGACAACATTGATTGGGGAAGGATCCTGGAATAGTGAGAAAAATCAATTGTGCATTGTTGCCTGCAGAATGCTCAACTCAGACAAGTCTTTAGAAGATGTTCGTGTGGGTGACTGCTCAGTGAGGTTGAGCATACAATTTCCGCTTGTCTGGAATATCACAGATACTAGCAGCATAGTTGGACTAGTTTGGACCAACAAGACGGCTACTGATCCAGGGCATTTCAAGGTTACCAGCTCCAACAACAATGGGGAGAGTTTGCCAGGCCTGAAATATGAATATACTCAAGTTGGCAAGGCAAGAGAATTATGTCCCAGAAAAGAAGTTGTTAAGAAAAATGGGGACAACTTCCCCAAAGGCAATTCTTATGATATGAGGTTTGACATGTCTGTTAAACACTCTAAAGAGGAGATTGCTTGGGGTAATGGACTCCCTATCTTTGTCAACAGTGAACGTTATGGAGAAAATTTCGTAATAACTGAGGATTCGGGCATTGGAGAAGTAGAGGAGAGCACCAATATTTATAGTAGCCAGATGAATATCAGCTATAAAATAACCTTCTCTTACATCAATTTGAAAGAACAGATTGCTTCGTTGAACTCATCACTCAATCAATGGGGTCAACTGGTAATCTCTGCCGAAGGTGTCTATGATGCTGACACAGGACATCTCTGCATGGTAGGTTGTCGAGAGATCCATCCCCTTCAGAGTAGTGAAAAGTCATTTGATTGTGAGATGATCATAGATGTTGAGTTTCCTCCCTTAAGTTCAATGGTTGGAAGTTCCATCAATGGAGTCATCCAAAGCAGGCGGGCAAAAACTGATTCTCTTTACTTTGAGCAGTTGAATATATCTTCATCCTCTTATTACACTGTTCAAGTACAGGAATCCATTTGGCGGATGGATTTGGAGATCATTATGGTCTTGATCTCCAACACTCTCGCATGTTTATTCGTGGCATCTCAGCTATTCTATGTGAAGAAGCATCCAGAAGTTCTCCCCTTTATTTCAGTTGTCATGCTCAGTATCATCACCTTGGGTCACATGATCCCTCTGGTGCTCAATCTTGAGGCCCTTTTCATTAAGAATCAGGATCAGCAAAACGTGATTCTTAGAGGCGATGGATGGCTTGAACTGAATGAAGTGAGTGTAAGATTGGTCAGTTTAGTAGTCTTTCTCCTGCTGTTGCGCCTCCTCCAATTGGCATGGACTGCAAGAACGGAGGGTGGAGACGGAAACCATTTATGCGCTGCGGAGAAGAAAACCGCTTTCGTGTCTTTACTTCTGTATGCTGTAGGTGGACTAATTGCCTTCTTGGTGGAGTTAGGGAAGAATGGCAATGGGAATGGGATGCAACGTTCTCTATATCCTGCTTACAACACCACCAATCCTGATCAACCTCCTCTTATGTCTGAACAATCCTATACATTGAGGTACCTGAAATCATACGCTGGTTTGGTCCTTGATGGATTTCTCCTTCCTCAGATCCTCTTCAACATATTCCAGAATTCAAGGGAAAAGGCACTGTCTTATTTGTTCTATATCGGAACAACATTAGTCCGCTTGGTACCCCATGCATATGATCTCTACAGGGTGCACAATTACATGCGTCAAGATTTTTATGGATCATACATTTACGCAAATCATAGTGCAGATTTTTACTCCATTGCTTGGGATGTCATCATCCCCTGTGGTTGTATAGCGTTTGCAGTGATCATTTGGCTGCAGCAGCGATTTGGTGGAAGCTGTGTTCTTCCACAAAAAATTCGTGAACTCGGCCTGTATGAGAAGGTGCCTGTGGTTAGCAGTGAGTAGCTTTTGGGGCAAATGTTGACTGTAGAACTTATGTTTTGCTTGTGTGGAACTGCTGTTGAAAAATCTTCAAGCTAAAATAAGAAGACTGCTTGAAGTTTACTTTTTGTCTTTGTTTTTCTTTTGAGCAATCAGCATTTTCTGCTGGGGCTTCCTTCTCAGTTTTGAACACTTGATGTAATATGGCTGTGAATTAATGTCAAGTCAGGCTTAATGCCGGCTTTATGTTTTACTTTGCATATTATTTTTTTTCTTTCATTTTGAACTTGTTGATTCCATTCTTAAAAGCCAAGAATAATTAATAGTATCCTAATATACCCCCCCCCCCCCCCAAAAAAAAGAGAGAAGAAAGGAAAAAAAAACTGTTGATGTGAACGCGTCGTATGTATTTGAACGGATAGAGAATGATCTTAAGTTTTGTACAAATGAAAAAAGAATTAATCAAAAAATAATTTGAAAGTCGCCTTGTTTGGATAGCAACAAAAAATTGCTACAGTTTACGTGAATATATCTTTTAATCACTTTTTATCTTACATATATTAAATCGCTATACTAATTTTTTTAATAAAAAATCTAAAAAAAAAAAGAAATCCATAAACAATAGGTTGGTTTGGTCAAGGAGTGTCAAGAATTAGAAGGATCTCGATAGTTGGTCTTTTTTGAAAACTACAGAAATATGAGAAGTAATTAAAATGCCAAGGAATGCCAATAATAAATAGATTTAAATGGTCGTCTGTGTACATAAATTGGGCACCAATCAAGAAAACCATTGATAAATTTTGATTTTCATGAAAATTGTGCTAATTGAAATATATAAACTCCAACTGAGTACTCATATTTATTTGTTGTATTTACTCCCAAAATTCCATCTAGTCCAACTTCATCCAGATGATATACTCCGTGACTCTAGAATCCTCCTCCAGCTAAAACCCTAAACCCCCGGATTACTACTACAATATAAACAAACAGAAAGGAGGAGGAAACTCCTCTATCTCAGTTCTCCCTCGCCTCCAAACCAACTTCACCATTTCTCGGATCATAACAATTCTAGAGTGAGACAGATACAGAGAAAATGGCAAGTTCAACCGCTTCAAGGCTGCTCAGCTTCACCAAACACAACTCAGCTCTCCAAAGCCTCATTCGCAGCCACCTCCTCCGCCCTACCGCCGCCACAACCCCCTCAATCACTCATCCACCCTGCCGCACTGCAGAGCGGCAAACTCCAGACCTAAAGCCAACGCAGAGGTCCACAAATATAACAGAGATATCGGAGAAGATGATGAAGA